GGTGGTGTTGGGGGTTGCTTCAGAGCTTGAAGGGTTGAGTCAGTGATCAATAGAATAGGGTATGTTTTGGAAAAAATTCAGATGGGGCTTGAGGTGGGGTTTAGAATATTTGTAGGCAAAGGCGAAGCAGATTCTGGAAGGATCCCCATCCATTTCACTGGGAGGCTTATGCATAAACTGGTTTAGGAAGCAAGCCAGGTGAGAGTTCGCCTACGTGTCTGGCACTGTGCCAGGGGCCAGGGGGACATATCTGGGCCAGACACTGACCCTGCCCTCAAGGACCTCACAGCCTAGAGGAGAAAGAAGAGCAAATCGGTCATCGTAAAGCAAGGTGACGGGTGCTGTAGGGGCCCTCATCATGCCAAGAGGCTGATACCCTGCGGGTAAGCATTCAGCCTTTGGGATCAGACAGACTTGGGTTCTAGACTTCCTCTTCCTGGCTGAGTGACCTTGGGGACGTGACATCCTGTCCCTAGTCTTGGTTTCCTCACCAGTAAACTGGAGCTAGGTAAAGGTCAGGTGCCTCTTAGAGTCGTGGGAGGATTCGGGGAGAGAATGTGTGTGAGGCCCCAGTGTCTGGCACTCAGGAATGCTTGTAATGAGTGTATACTGGGTTTATTACGAGTGTTAGGTTATCAGAGAGGCTTGCTGAGCACTCTGGGAGACCGGAGAGCGGCTGTGTGGGGTGAGGTGGGAGATGTCCAGAAAGGCTCCCAGAGGGAGGGGTGCTGGCCGGCTGGTGAGGAAGGGCGTTCCCTGAAGAGGCGCTAGCCAGGATCAGTCTCCAGGAGCCCAGGCGGGGGCAGAGAGGACGAAAATCTCAGGACCTCATACATATTGTGCCAAGTGATTGGAAATGCTCTTCTCCTTGATAGGCCAGGCCCAAAGGACCAGCTACAACAATGGCTAACTGACACGGAAGGCTGTGGATTCAGGCTGACTTACCCGTCAGGACTCAACCAGGACACAACTGCAGGAGGCTGTGGGGACCCTGGGTGTCTGCTCTACCAGTAGGTGCTGGCAGCTGTCTTGTGAGATTCGGAGCTCATTTGAGGTCCCTGCGAGTGTTCATGGGCGGCCTGGCCACCCCTTCAAAGGGGAGATGCAGGAGAGTCAGGAAAACAGGGTTCAGGTCGTGCCTCTCTGGTTATAGATGCATAAGGCTGTGCAAGTCTGTTTTCTGTGTAGACTTCCCATCGCTGCAGCTTGCAGAAGGGAATAGCCTTGGCTTTTTCAGATTTGGAATCTGCTGCACGCCTGTCCCCCATCAGAGAGTCCCAGAGAGTTAGTAGCCCGCACCCCCCTCTCCCCCGCCCTGGTCACTGCGGGGCCGGCACTGCAGGGCTCCCTGGGGGTGGTTTCCAGGCGCCCAACTGGCTCATCTTCCAGCCCTAGAATTCTGTGATTCTCTAAGATTTCTTCCTACCTTAGTTTTCAATTCTGTAGACGCTGAAGTACCAGAGACTTAGAAAAGGGATTTATTCGGCATCTTCCAGCTGATCAGTGGAGATCTATATTTAGAGGACACAACTCCCAGCCTAATCTGGGGTCCCTTCTACCTCCCCAAGCTGCTCCTTACCACCACCAGCGATTTATCTTAGCATGAGTTCCTCCCAGGGCCCAGGAAACCTGTGTTGCCCTCTATAAATTCCTTCCCCTCTGACAAGAAAACACCAGAGAGCCAACAGATCCAGCTCTGAGACGATTCTGGAATTCATTTCTCTAGGTATGACTTGAGCTCAGTGAAATAGTGTGTGTATGAAATGTGAAGTGAAAAATGAGGCCCAGCTTTGCAGTGGTCCTACAGTATCCTCCCCTTTTTGCCACGAGCGCACTGTTCAGATGGCTGCCTGGAACACAGGAACTTCCCTCTTTTGTAACCAGATAGGGCGCTGCAACGAAGTTCTGGCCATGAATTAATAATTAGAAATATTTTGTATACCTTATGGAAAGTGGTTTTTTTTTGTTTTTTTGTTTTTTTTTAAAGATTTTATTTACTTGACAGAGAGAGACACAGTAAGAGAGGGAACACAAGCAGGGGGAATGGAAGAGGGAGAAAGCAGGCTTCCTGCCGAGCAGAGAGCCCGATGTGGGGCTCGATCCCAGGATCCCGGAATCATGACCCGAGCTGAAAGCAGATGCCCAACGACTGAGCCACCCAGGCCCCCCATGGAAGGTGTTGGAGAATGCTCTTCTTCGCTCTTCCTTCACTGATGGCTGGAACATAGGCACAGTGGCTGATCTGTCAGCAGCCACCTTGGACCATGAAGCAGACACCATATGTGGGTTGTGGGTCATGGTGGAACAACAGGATAGTCAAGAGCTTCAGTCACTGATAATCTTCTGAAGCCCTCTTGTCAGCCCTAGACTGTGAGAGAAATGAACTTCTATGGTTTAAGGCACCATTACCACAGTTCAGCAACTCTGGCCATCAGCTCTAAGACAGCATTATTTTGTACATTATTAACAGGAAAACCACTGCCAGTGAAATGGGATGCCTCTCTGATTGTAGGGCACATTCCAATCTCAGAAGTTCAGATGTGACAGAAGTATGAGTCTTATTACATGGAATGCAGTATTTTGGGTTTTTGTTACTCACAGCCAAACCTAATCCTAACTGATTCAAGAAACATGAGGGAACAAAAAGTGGCAAGTTCTAAATAAAGAACATGATTATCATGTAGAGGGAGGAACAAGTTTCTATATAAAAGAATGACTCACAAAAATAGTAGTGACACATGACTCAATTTAGGGACATTTCTCCTTTACTTCCCAGTCTGGCTTGGAATAAATGGAGTCTTAGGTACGGCTACTTGGATTTGGCTGTGAGTTGAGCTGCCTTTAAGGTGTCGAGGACACAAAACTGATTGCTAAAGCAGTCTCCACTGTGTGTGATTGGTTTTTAGGGTCTCTGCCTCTTCAGAGCCTTCTCTCTGACTCTGCAGTGTCCACCTGGTTGACTTTGAGAAAGGACCAATGGCCAGCAGCTGTGTGCTGCCAACGGGCTTGGTTAGCTGAGAGGCTCCTCCCTCAGCAGCCACTGCTACTGCTTTTTGGCGCAGCCTGAGCCCTGGTTTGGGGCGAGCACTTCCGATCCTCAAGGTGAGTCCTGACTTTAACCTGTGATGATCCAGTACTGATGTGCCTGTTGGGATGAAAACATCAAAGGCCAATAGGACAAAAAGGCAATCTTGCTTATCTGACTGTGGCTCTAAGATGAAATATCCATTCTGTGTGTATCATTAAAGCAGGGTCACGTTCATGAGGAAGACCCACTTGACCTTGTCTAAATAATACTGCAATCACTTGTTACTTTACGGGATCCTTTCTCCCGGGATTGCTTCTTGAATCTACTGGGACTCCGGGGGCCATCACAGGTTTTGTTGACTCTACATTCTGGCTACCATTTATTGACTCTTTCCTCCTGTGTTATTTAATACATCAACCCTACAGAAAGGCAGGATCATTCCCATTTTCAAATTAAGGCTCTGAGAAGTTGGTTAACTTTCTCACAGTAACGCAACTAATAAATGGGCTCTGGTCTTAACGTTGGTCAAGGCCACCGTTATAGTGCAGTTGTACTGAGAAGCAGCACTTTCAGCTTCAGTTACTGAAATGTGTACAATTCTGCTAAGGAGTACTTTTATCCTTCCATTCAGAAGGGTCACTGGACACTGAGGACTTGGGACTATTCTGAAAGAGACTCTTCTCTGAAATGGCAATGACGATGACAACGAAAACATTAGGTAAGTGGCGGGAATGGACCAGTCAGGCACCGTTACTCCAGGCCAGACTCCTAGTACACTCACCGGAGGTTCCCACAGCCCGTGTGATAACCTGCAGCGCAGGAATCTGTCAGTGAGGGAGCAGCACAGGTTCCCCTGGCAGAAGGTGGACTACTGTTGGGCCGACTGCCTATTCCTAATGAAATATGTCATGTGACTCTGCTGATGCAATAGCTACTAATAATATTTAAAAATTACCTTGGAGAAATTTCCTGCTCACCTTAATATCATGCATATGTTTACTGGAAAAGAAAAAATTCCCTAGAAATGCTTATTTAACCTTGCCAGTTCTGATGAAGATATATTATAGTGAATCATGGGAATTTCTTTTATGATTTCATGTTCTACATAAAAACGGCTCTGCCTTAGTACTGATCCAGTTCCTATGGGGCCTCAGCCTAAACCAGTCTGCTTTCAAAAAAGTGGAAGCCCGACCTACCAAGTGATTTCCTCTGGATTGAAATACATTAAGATAGAATAAACCTTTGCATCCAAACTCATCATATTTTCCCTCAGATACCAAAGTACAAAACGGCCAGGCTGAATTTCTTTTAAATTATTTTATTTTTGTGTAAGCTAAAAGGAAATTTACACACTGAAATCTCAAAAGACCTTGGGCATGCACATTAACCCTGTCAGAGGTTCTTCTACATGTCTTTCTTTTTTCCATAGGAATTTCCCCAAACATTTAAAACCCATAGTTTTTACTGTATATACAGCCTAAACCATAGCAATCTATGATTATGTCATTTTACACTGTGCAAAATCCTCAAAATATAGTGGTATGATAAAACAAAAAATCATTAACAAGTAAATTTCATTGTAAGACATGTAATTTGGTCCTTCTCCAAACCAAACTGATTGAAAACAGACACAACCTCTTTAAACCCCTCCAATCAAGTTCTGACAATGATCCACACCCCGTGACAAAAGAGCAATCGATAAAGTACCTTGCAAAAGGTCAAACAGCAATATGCCAGATTGGAAAGATTAAAAAAAGAGCGCAAAAATGTTAACAAAAGCCGGATCTGAAACAAACCCACCACATGTGAAATTGAAAAAAAACAAACAAAAAAAAAATGGGGACTTTGGAGCTTATTTATGATCACAAAAGTAATTCAACATATGATATGAAAAATTAATAGAACATTCAATGCAATCTGGAAAGACTGAGGGGGATTTCACAGACAGTGGAGATTTGAATTTTTAATTTTCTTTTTTTTATTTCAAAAGTTTTGTAAGAAGGACACCACCAGTGTATTTCACAAAGACATAAATGTATACACCCCAGCAACACAAAAAGAATAAATCTTCAAAAATGTTCACCCCCAATTATTTACATTTTTTTCTAATATAAATTTAGGACTTCAGTATGTAAATAAATATACATTACTATGTATACCTTTCTAGTGCGGCTTACCAACAAATCAGCTGAACTTTTTTTTTTTTTTTTTTTTTTTTTAATTAGAGCAGGTATGCTTTTGATGGGAGGGAGGGATGGGCGGGAGGGAAGGAAAAGCAATTGAAATTGTCCAGTTCACATCAGTTATTAGTCTGCTTTCTCTTGGGACCTTGTGGAAGGTGTTAACGTGGCTGGGAACATCAACACCTTGGCATGCATGAATGTTAAGTCCGGAAGGCTCGCGATCACCTTGATGGCTTCTTCACTCAGGTGCTCTTCTCTTTTTGGTTTCCTATTGACAAATGAAAAAAACGTGTTAATGTGACTTTGCTGTAGGACAAATGGGAGAAAATCCTTTCTCAGGGTAGACAGCTATCTGTGGGGCTTCTCTGCCAGGTCCTGAACCTTGTAACGTGTGTGTGTGCGCGCGTGCGCACGTGCATGTGCTTCCAGTGCCAGAGGCCGAATCCCTTACTGAGCTGCATGCCCATGTTATGTGTGTGTGTTATAGCTGGGCAGAGACATACAGACATTCCCATGTACCTATGGACAGCTCACAGATTTGCTGAAGGCTCGAAGCATCTACCCAGGCCCACTTAAAATGTTCTAAGCAGAAACAGAATGCTGGAGCCCTAATAAAACTTCACCCAACCGGATTTCCCTCTGACCCCTGTGAAATTACTTCAACATAAAACAAAATATATCTGGTCTTAAGTATATCTGGCACAAGACCCTGTAAGTCATTTTAACCCCAGGCTCTCTCAGTCTCCTATGGGGAATTCCAGGAGAAAGCCCTTGGCTCAGAAACATCCAGGCTTGACCGTGCTGGGACACAGACAGCAGGTCCAACAGGAGCAGTGCGGGAGCTGGTTGCAGATGCTGAGAATGGACATGGGCAGAAAGTGCTCAGGGAGAGGGGAAATCTTGAAATCCTAGAGGTTCTGGAGTCAAAGTACATTTCACTCACTGCCCCTGGTATTAAAGGTGAGCATGTTAGTGCCTAACATAGATAGGAAGAACTCCTTTTCATCCAGGGCTTCCCAGATGGTGAGCTGCAGAAATGTCGAGAGCCTCAAACGTGGCTCAAATTGAGCACATGACTGTAAGCCAACCTTGATTTTTTCCAGAATGTTAAAAATATTCAAAGAATAGTTGCGGTCATACAGATACTAATTTTAGACTAAAGTTCATTTAAAACTGTTCATTCTAAAAAGCTCAATTCTCTTTTATGGTAAAATAGCTGGTACTATATTAGGTGTGGTCCAAGTTATTTCTTCCACCTAATTATTTTCTTTGTTGTTGGGATGGGGAACGGGACATCAGGAGATGAGGCGAGAAGGGAAGATAGATACGGGTCTTTACTTCATACCTAGACTTTGCTGTTAATCACTTTCAAATTCAGGCTGAAATGAAATGATTTATTAGAATGACGGAAAAATCAAACATCAGAATTTTAGGACCAGAGTTCTTCAAAAAGGGGTGGGCTTTAAGCACACCAAAACCATCAGATCAACCAATACTCAGTTCTACGGTTTCTCAGAAGAATGGAATAGCAATCCAGTATTTTCTACTTAAAATCTACAATTTTCATTGCATTTAAATGGTGGCAAAATTACTAGGTGGATGTTTGATGAAGAAAAACCAGAGAGTAAAGTGAAAGACTGGAAGTGTCTGCATAATGAAAAAGGCCAGCCTCTCACCATGGTCCATCTTAGCATCACTACCAATGGAGTCAACCAGGTTATTATGCAACTTCTGACACAGTACAACACCTGTAATGTCGTCCAGCCACAATGTTTCACCCAAGCTCATTAAACTCATGGATATAATTTCTAGCTTACAGGAAGTAAAGGGAAATGAGAAACATTAAATACTACTTGAGGAAGCCAACAGATAAATCCTGAGGTTGGGACATTCTGCAGGACATCTGGGCTGATCTTTTTAATATGCTACTGCTAAAACTGAAAACAAACACAAGGGTTGGGAGTGGATAAGCTAGGTTAAAGGAAGTTGAAGAGCCGTAACAGCCAGGTACAGCAGTTCTCTGCTTTGTTGAAACCAATATTGAGTTGAGGGGACATCTGAATACAGCTTTGGTATTAGATGGACTAAAAATGCACTGAAGTTGACAGATGGAGATCACAGGCTGCAGAGGTTAAGCTGAATTTCATATGGACTATAAAATCTCATTTTTGGTTAAAACAACACACATATCTATGTATTTGCATGGAAAATGATCTGAAAGGAGTTATACTGATGTGAGAGGTAAGAATGTAAAACTTAAGTTTTAATTTTTGTATTTTCTAACTTTCTATAATATATCTTACTGCTTCTGTAATGACAGAAAGTTAGTTAATTAAAAACAGTAACAAAGAGAGAGACTCCTGACTCCAGGAAACACACTGAGGGCTGTGGAAGGGGCGGCGGGTAGGGGGATGGGGTAACTGGGTGATGGGCACTAAGGAGGGAACGTGATGTGATGAGCACTGGATATTATACGCAACTAATGAATCATCGAACATTATATCAAAAACTAATGTACTGTATGTTGGTTATTGAATTAAAAAGAAACAAAAAAACAGTAACAAATAGGGGCACCTGTGTGGCTCAGTTAAGCATCTGCCTTTGGCTCAGGTTCATGATCCTGGGGTCCTGGGATGAGCCCTGTGTCAGGCTCCCTGCTCAGCAGAGAGTCTGTCCCTCCCCACCGACTTGAACTCTAATAAATCTTAAAAAAAAAAAAAAAAAAAAACAGTAAAAAAATAAAAACTGCACTTAAAGGAACTTTCTCCTTTGTGAAATGCAGTTGGAATATGGGGAAGGAGAGCAAGGTAGAAACTTTTACCCAAGAAATGGTTGGTAAAGATTATTCTAGACTTTCTACTTAATGGTCTTGTTTCAGAGGCACTACTTAGAGGCAATAGTAAATTGAAATAATAGTTTACAGAGCCGATAGTTTACAGTATTTATCTATAGTCACTGTGCATTGATGTGTTCTAGAGGAGGATTTGAAAATAAAAAGTTGTATCGTGAACTTTTCTCAAATCCAAAAGCAGTGATCTCATGCTGATTTATATTCTTGTTAGCCAAGATTTATCCTTTTTGTCAGTGGAATACAACTGAGAGTCTAGAAACAAACCCATATATTAATGGAAAGTTGATCTCAGTAAGGGTGCCACGACCACTGATGGGGAAAAGTCTTTCAAATAGTGTGGGATATCGACATGTAAAAGAATGAAGCTGGACCCCTATCTCAGAACACATTCAAATATTAAATCAATGGATCAAAGACCTAAATGTAAGAGTTGAAGCTATAGAACTATCGAGAAAAAAACCTAGGTGCAAATCTTCCTGACCATGAAGTAGGCAATGGTTTCTGGGATGGCTGTAACCAAAAAGTCAGACAAAAACAAGCCTCAAGTGTACACTTGAGTGAGAATGTGGAGAAACAAGAATCCTTGACATATGTAAGAACATATAATGAATATGTATGAATGTAAAAAGGTGTAATGTAAGTAATATAAATATAAATAATATATAATAATGTAAATGTAAATAGTGTAATGTAAATAATGTAAAGAATGTAAAATGGTGGCACTACTTTGAAAAACAGTTCAGCAGTTGCTCAAAAAGTTCAATATTGTTACCATATGACCTGGTAGTTTCACTCCCGAGAAAATGGAAAGCATCTGTCCACACACGAACCTGTACATGAATGCTCATAGCAGCATTAGTCATAATAGTCAAAAAGTGAATACAACCCAAGTATCCATCAACTGATTAATGGTAAGTAATATGTGGTATAATCACACAAAGGAATATTATACAGTTGTAAAAAGGAATGAAAAATACTGATAAACACAATATCATGGCCAAACTTGAAAACACACTAAGAGAAAGAAGCCAGGGACAAAAGGTCACATATATGATTCCATTTACAGGAAATAGCCAGAACAGACAAATTCCTAGAGACAGAAGGCAGATTAGTAGATGTCAGGATGCCTGGGAAAACTGACAGAAAAGGGAGTAAGTGCTAATTAATGAGTATGGAGTTTCCATTGAGGGTGATAAAAATGTTCCAGAATTAGTGATAATGGTTGTGCAATGCTATGAATGTACTAAAAAATCACTGAAGTGTACACTTGAGAAGGGTGGATTTTACATTATGTGGACTATGTATGTTAGTCAATTAAAAGGTCAAAGGTCAAAATTAAAAGGTTAAAAAAAAAAAGACAAAAAACCATACGTATCTCTTTTGGCAACTAGTCCTTAGGCTTGTATAAACCTGAGTTAGAGATCTACCACTACTAACTAGGTGGTCACCCACTGATTAAGGAAGTTATTTTTCTCTATACTAGAAAAGGTAAAGCAAGAAGAAAGAACTATTTTAAAACTAAGAACGTGCATTTCTTTAAAAAGTGAGAAGTTACTTTTAACAGGCTGTGTACGGGAAGAGATGAGCTCATGTACGTCTTCCTACATATGCAGCAAAGGCACTTGGAAAAGAGTATGCTGTTACCTGTCAACTTCCTCTACTTACACCTTGGTTTCTTAACCTTGTGGTATCCTACATCACTCTACCTTCTGTGTGTTGTCAGTAGTCAAGAAGATTTTGCTGAGCTTTACTTTTTGTAGTTTATTCCATTCAAACCCAAAAACAGAACGATCTAAAAAAAAACAAAGTCACTGACATTTTCTGAAACGATGCCTGCCATCTGCCTTTCTCTTACCTGTGCAACTGAGAATCATTCATGGGTTCATTTTACAGTAATTGTAAAGGCTTGTGAAAATTTGCATTTCTTACCATTTTCAAATAATTGAAATGAGTTGGCAACTCATTTCTCCCCCCATTTGTTATGTTTTATTTATTTTTTTAAAAAAGATTTTATTTATTTATTTGACAGACAGAGACCACAAGTAGGCAGAGAGGCAGGCAGAGAGAGAGAGAGGAGGAAGCAGGCTCCCTGCAGAGCAGAGAGCCCAATGCGGGGCTCGATTCCAGGACCCTGAGATCATGACCTGAGCTGAAGGCAGAGGCTTTAACCCATTGAGCCATCCAGGTGCCCCCATTTGTTATGTTTTAAACACGAAGCTGGACAGATACTAGAGAGCAATTTGGTGCAGTTATAACACTCACCTTAGGATACACACAATGGTTCTAGTTCATTCTGTAGTAGTACAGAATAAGGGAAACAAAATAATTTCTTAAAGTGATAGGAGTTGTTCAAGTTCCCTGGTGTACATGGGATGTTTCAAGGATGAGTTACAGTTAGGAGAGCAAGCAAGCTAACAATGTGGTATAGAGCTCCTCCTAATGGCACAAAGACTGCATTCTCATCAGGGGACTTTGGAGACTACCATGGTTCATTCAGTGACACTGCAGGAAAAGGGTAGTGAAGCAGGAGTACTGTCCTTAGAGAAGGCTGCCCTAAAAATGACAGGGGAAAAAAGCCCAAACAATAAAAGCATCAGTATTTTTTTTTAAAGTCAAATGTGCAGTAGCTTTTAGCTAACATATATAGAAAAAATGGACGAGAAATTTGAGAATTTCAATTTGAAAATATGATTTGGGGGGAGAGAAAAAAATTATAAAGTGAGCTAAAAGAATCCACAGAGGATTCATTTACAAATAGGTTCACTTAAGAGGAGGCTTTACCCCAAAGACATGGGAACAATGAGAATAAGAGAATCTATGGTATGTGCACTCTGTAAATTATTCTAGGGAGAAGTTAAGAGTATCCACAATTACAAAATACATAACAATGCCTCTTTTATAATTATAAATATTATTAATAATATATATCTGTTGAATGAATGGATATTTAAGCACACAACACAGTTTGAAAGGCAATGGGATAATTCAAACTACAGTTTTAAGCCTGGTAAGCATTTATTATTTATAAGGAAAAAGGTTTTTTTTTTTTTTTTTAAATGGTTGTTTTTCTATAGAAGAACTGCTTCAAAAGATAAATCTGAATCTTACATGGAAACAGTTTATTTGTTGAGGAGTAAGGGCTATAATACTTCTGCCAAAGTGGGCCACTAGCAGGTAAATATTTCCACTTGAAAATGCTGATGAACAACGCATTTGGAACAGCGAAGCTGGTGCTCCTATCAACCAGTATTTGCTCCAACAGTTGTGGTCTCCGGGTTCACAATGACTACCTCTTCTGAGGAACTGGCCTATTCTTACGGCTAACATGTCTAAGCAATGGCTTACTGTTTGGTGCTAAATTATGTAAAACTAAAGGTTTCCTGAATCCTGAGCACAGGGCCCAAGTGACTTCCTTCCGTTTGGTTCCAACACTGCTTTTCTAAAGGCCATGTCCCTGAGGGGCCTCCCAGAAAGCTTGGCTAAGCAAGGCTTCACATCCCACATCAGAGGTGCTGCACATCAGCAAAAATGCAGAAAATAAGAGTAGCCATTGCCTCACCTACTCCAGCTTAGGTGAGGGGTAGAAAGTCTAGCCTACGTGACTGGGAGTGTGAAAGTGATCATCATCTCAGTGGTTATGAAGGGAAAGAGGGACAGTTTCTAAAATGGCTTATGATCTCAATACTTAATCAGAATTCTTCTCAACAAAGTTTGGCCGAGGAAGGGGGGTAAAAAGAAAAAAACCACATCTGCAGCCCTTTCCAGCTTCTTACGAAATAGCTCTGCTCTAATAAAGTCCATAATTAAACATAATTTGGTAACTGTTTTTCGGAATTAGGCATCATCTACTGATAAATAGAAAGTGCATTTTAATACAATATATTGAAATACCGTCAACTTACTTGCTTTCCTAAATTCAAAATTTAGGGTATAATGAACACTAGCTGTTTACCTGGTAGATGTGCTTGTCTTCTCTACTGTGGACATGAGTCTTGCAAATGCATCAGTCACTTTGAGGCTTGAGGTGGAGATTTCCAGCTTAGAAGTTGTTAACTCATACAACTCTGGATCCACACCTTATAGTATAAAACGACAGTCAGTGAGGGCAAGCTGCAGTGTGTTACTCAGTCAGCCACAATCCAAGATGCAAAAGGCACTCATTCTGTAAACATCTGAGTCTTTTATAAGCACAACATGTCTTTAGACTAATGTTGCATTTATTTTTTAAATTATAGATTCCAACTTTCAGAATTTTTATAAAGTAGGAAAATACTTTTAAAATCTCACTTAGGTATTAAATACAGCTTTAATTCATCTAATATTTATGTAGTAGATATGCAAATACTTCTACAATTTCTATCTGCTGTAGAAAACTCAATTTTGGATTGTTAGCGATATGAAAGTTATCAATGTTTTATAGAAAGCGCACATGATTTCTTATAGGTACCTCAATGTTTAAATGGACTGATTAACTTCATTTTTGCAATTTTCTCCCCCTCTACACCTCTCTAACAATTTTACCTCCATTATACTTTTTTCCATACTGAAAGATTTAGGAGCTAAAGTCTCAAATACAGTAAATGACTTGGTTAAATATATTCTTACCACCCGAGGACATAAAATGTTACTCGAAGTGTCAAATTATTACTAAAGATAAATTATGTACCACATAGTTCTTTCTTCAGGTCAGAAGTAGGGAGGGTAAAATATTCCCAGAAAAACTAATAAAAGCACTACTTTTAGACAAAATGAAAACTGTCTCAAGGGTTAATTATATTTCTTTGGTTTCATATTCGACCTGGTTTTAAGGAATTCAAAATGAAGTTGAGTCTCTTAGATTTGACTTCACTAAAATATACAGTTTTATATTTTCAAAGAATGTAGATTTATATTAAATAACTGACTACAAAAACAATGAAAAGAACAATAAATATTTTCAACTCAAGCTCAACTTTGGATAATAGAGACTCAGATTAAAAAAAAAAAAAAATCCCCTACTCTCTACGGTACCAGCAAATTACCTGAGGTAAAAAGTTTAGTAGTTTCAGATTATAGCAGAAATGCAGATTATAAGAGAAGAATGTCTTCTTAGTTTCATCAATTTTTCCTTATTATTTCTAAAAAAGTTCTGAAAATCGGCAGAGAAAATTATATATAAATGTAAATACTATTGTTATTAATTTTCCTCTTTTTAAGATATTTTAAGGTTAAGAAAAAAAATCACAAACTGCCTTCTATTAACCAGCTTTGCAGATGAGTGGCAGATGTAAACACGTATCTCAGATGTTTACAGAAATCAAACAAGCAAAAGCAGCTTCCACAGTTATCATGTCCAACAAGGGAGGAAGGCTATAGAAAATGTTTGTTGACTCTCCCAAGTTCTTAGTATTTCATTAAGGTACAGTTTCAAAAAATACTTAATGAGGCCCTTTCTTTGTATCTCTGTAAGGATGTAAGTTTCAGTTAAATCCTAAAAAGATTGTAGATACCCGTAGGGGACCAGATGAACCCAAAGTACCTCCTTCCTCCACTGCGAAAGGTTAGATTCCAAGTAACCACAAAATTGAAACTGATGTCTAATATATAGTGCAGAATAAACAACTGTATTCTGACTGCAAACAGAAAAGTGGTAGTAAAAATTTGGTCGGGTTTGTAAAATACTGGCCACTTGGCTGTCAAAGAATAAAGTGGGAGATTTAAAAAAAAAAAAAAAAGAGAAAAAAGACAACAAAAAACCCAATCCTCCCTTGCCCAAAACAAAACCACCACCATCACAAAAAAACCAAGTCAAACCAAACCAAACCAAACCAAAAAACCCAGGAAAGTGCCATGACTATATTTTATATTTTTCAAAAAGGGATAATTACTTAGTCTACACTAATAATTGGAGAGTAATTTTTTTTTAATGGAGGAGTCTGCTTGTTTTTGTTTTTTACAGAACCTTAATGAGGCATAGTTTAGTTACATAACTAAAGCTAGCCAACCAAGTTCTATGCCAACCTCCTAAGTCTCACACACAGAATAATTAAATAACCGCAAGCTAAGACAAAATGACTTTCCCAGAAACAAGTCGGAAAAAGTGCAAGCAAGTGGTAAAATGGAATACTGAGAAAGGTGTTGATACCTGTAGGTTGATGGTAAGTTTTAACAAAACCCAATAGCAATAAAAAGAAGCCAAAGCAAATTTATAGTAATCAAGTTTATACAGCAGCTAGAGCGTATTAATGAAAATATGGAACAAAAATACTTAAAAGTTTCAAAGTAATGAGGACTGCATTTCAGCATGCTAATTTCACTTCTATCACAGCTCTAAGTTTCTGAAACCACTTGCTCTTCTTGAAGCTGTGTATACTGAGCCTAGTTATCATGTAATTTCTGTACTTATGTTCTTAACTGAGTTTGAAATGTAATCAAGAATTAAATTTAAACCAGGTTTTAGGTGTCCAAAAGCAGTGAACTCATGTAAATTATAATACACTTCATGACAAAACAAATCTGAGAGCAAATTAAAAAGGGAGTTCGGTAATTCATTCTTGGGAATAAGGTAATACGGAAAATGATACATAAACCTTTGTTGTCTTTTCCCCCCCAGTTAAGAATTAAAAGCAGCTAATTAGGCTCACCCTGGTCATTCCATAGCTCAAATGTATTTAAAGATAATTTGAGTAAATAGTAAAATATCATTTTGAAGTCAAAACCAGACATAAGTTTGTTTTTTTTTTCATATGCTTGCAAAATCCTGGAAGTAATGAAAATGATTCAGGGGCTTAGATTTGAGAAATCCAGTCATTCTACCTAAAGGCCTTGGAACTTCCTTAGAGTAAGAACAGATTTCCATGACCAGATTTTAGAGAAGGATGTTCAGGGTTCCAGGCTCACCCTTATCTGACTCTCTTGGTCTTCCCCATTTCCCACCATGGCTCCTGAACTGCTGGAAGTGAGTGGCAGGGTATCAAGCGGGATAGACAAAACCAGCAAATTCTCCGGAACAAGGCTGGCTGTGTAACTGGCTGCTAGTGGGGCTAAACGGATCCTTGCTACGCATTCTGGGTATCGGTATCTATATAGCACCCCAACAGCTGTCTGGTGATCAATGGACATGATTACCAGATCACAAGGAGGGATGACAGGGATTCATTAAAATCATATCAAATAAAATGTAAACATAAAAATGCCATTATATTTTAATCTTTTATTCAGTTAAAAAAACGACAAAGTACATTAGTCCTTTGGTCAATAAACTGAATTTCGCAGGGCTGAACATTAACAGGCACTCCAGTAAGTTTTAATTTCTAGCTTTTAATATCTCATAGCAATTATGTTCTATTAACTTCTGTAACATTTCTTTTTTCTCCATGGAAAACTAACAATACTTTCTATTTAAGAGCTACATAAAAACTACATAAGTTCTATGTGGGATCTATATAGAACTAAGTGCTAGACTCTTAACATTTTGGAACCTAATTATACACTTAGCATTAATAAACAACTAACTGAATGCTAGAATTTTAGAGGTTCTGTTACCACAGGCACTACAATGTAAAGTCATCTTTGTATACTAAAATATTCTTGTATCTCTAAACCTGTATTTTTTTCAAATGGCTTTATCGAATATGCTTTCAAAAATAAGCATATAAAATACACATATTCCATTTACAGGAACCCCCTTACCCCCAAACAAAACCCTGCCTTTAACTGTCTAAGGACATTAGGGCTACTTTATTCCTAGAAACTACTTTCAGCTCTGACTGGTACACTGAGAAAGCTTTCCTTAAAACACATTTCACAGAAGTCATTTGTTATAGTCAGATACTAGAAAATAACAATAGATAGATAAAGGAAAAGTATTAGAAAGATATAGAGAATACAACTACTTGTTTCCTTGTTTATAGGAAAGTCAAGTGATGTGGTCATGCTTTTAGTAATTAAACCAGAATTGTGGTTTTAACACTCTGCTGACCTGGGATTGTGGTGCTGCTGCTAGAGCTACTGTCATCCACGGGCCCAAAGAAATCAAGGTTCAGAAGAGTGGAACCTCCACTAGCTTGAAATTCAGTGACCGTGTTGGTAGGCAGCCACACAGAAGGTAAGCCAAGGGAGGAGGGGTTATGTGTAAAAAGGGGTAAGACACACACTTGAACATGCAGGTTATAATTAGTAGTCATTACATATTTTAAAATCAACATTAAAACAATGTGTACAGTATTAGTTTTTCATTACTAAGGACATTTCTAAAGTAACAATTTAATAATTCAATGTACATTTTCTCATGTACAAAGTAAAAAATTTAACACTTAGTAAGGTTTTAGTTAGGAGTTCAGTTCTTTCAATCAAAACTCAAAGCCATACCAGAAAGACCAAGGGGAAAGTGTACCCGTTAAAGGGAAACAATACTTTAATCTCAGCCCAACAGTAAATTACTGTACATGCCCAAGTCAGTTTTCCATGTTAGTAATGTTGGTTTTGAATTAATGATTTTTAAAAAGTGACAAAGTTGTCAGTTTCAGGACACGCACCAATACATTAACTTCGTTTCAATTAAAGTAACATTCGTAAGGACTGTCATAACTGCCCTACCCTGATGTGCAACCTCGAGCTGTACTGTTCCCCTTTAACTCTGAAACAGTAATCAGAAATAGTATACAGTTTTAAAGAAGTTGTTTGTTAATAAAAAGCATGATGATTTGACTGAATATTCGAGACACCAGACAACAGCAAAAGGTGCATCCAGGCTTTCCTTCAGCACTGTTATTCAATTGGATGCTTTTCAGAAGTCCTAGGACCCCTCATCTAAGGCAAAGCTGACAGAATGACAGGTGTTTTAGACAATGGCTCGAATAACTTATGAAGTATAAGGAGGAAGAATAATTGTATTTTAGGGTCCAATTAAAATTTGTGGTGTCAACGCACTGGAAAAGTACCATTTTGTGTCATTTATTTTAAAGACCCACATTACTAGGATGTTATTCCTTTTTCAGGATTTTCTCTTAAAGCCACGAGAGAAACCAATTATTTCTGGAACTACCTACTAGTATTTTGAGATAAGATTTAGAAAAGGATCATGAAAATCATTCATTTTCCATTTGCATAATAAGTGCACTATAAAATATTATTAAATCTGAAAACTACTTTTAGTCAGTAAATATGGATCTATTTGCACATTGTTTTTGGTTATATAATTGTGCTTTGTGCTTTTTTTTAAGCAGCCTCTAGCCACAAGACTTTGCATCCAAGAAAATTCCATAAATTAAAACTACAGAAACAAATTTCAAGTAAACTGGTCCTACCTAAAATATCATTTCAACTACTTAGATACTTGTAAAAAAAAAAAGACACTTTTTTTTTTTTGACTTAAGATAAATTAAAATTTTACCTAGCTACTGCTACCTACTTATGGACATTATTACTGTTAATAATAGTAACAGCTGTTTTTTTGAGCAATTACTATTCAGAAAGAAAGCCTGAATTTCCAAAGATAAGAATAAGAAGTTATGTTCAAACAAAAAAGGAAATCAGCAGAGAGAAGTTTGTCTGAACTTTGTAGCTTTCTTAACTCTAGCTCTGGTGCTAGAGGCTCTACGGAGAGACGTACCATCTAAAGGGTTAGTAAGGCCACTGCTACTCCAGTCAAACTGGACGGGTGGTAGAGACTCCTAGAGTTGGAAACCAAAAAATCAAAATTAATCAGTACAGGCTGTAGCAACATAAAGAATTCTTTAAAAAACAAAAAACCAAAAAACCCCCCAAAAACTATTATAGCAAAATCATTAGGCAATAAAGTACCTAAAGACAAAATTGGGATAATTTACAATTTCAGAAGGTTACCTAAAAATATGAACACAAACTGAAACTGAAAAACTGACAAATAATATATCTTATTGATATCAAAAAACTATCTTTGAGAAATGGAATTCATTTTACATTTTCAGATTTTTATGGACTGATTCTATATCAAGATTTCAATCTATTCTCAAGTTATGATTTAAACTATTGGCTAGATTATAATTCAAATATTTAAAAAAAACAGACTTTTATCACTAAAGAGTGATCTACTCTATATTAAATGACTAGCCACTTAAAATTTCTCCGTGGACAGTCTAATGGAATAGATAAGGTACCACACTGAAAATAAGATTTGAGTTATTCAAGACCAAGTAACTGCTAAATAACTAGCTGCATGACCATGTGTAGCTTAACTTAGTTGGTCTCTTTGTAAATAAAACGAGAAGGTTTAAAGACCAAGGTCTCTGGTTCTTTACAATTTCCCAAATTACAAAGAAAATTATGGGCCAGTAAATAGGAACTAAATTTAAAAATAAAAAAAAAAATTAAATCAACTTCTTTAGCAATTATTTATAATCAGTATCAGAACTTAATTTTTAAAATAATGTACTGAAAAAGTATACTCAGAGCTCATTTGAATATTCTAGGTTTTTAAATTTTAAATTTTGTTGACACATAAGGATAAATTGAGCAAATGATACATGTAAGATGGAAAATACAAAACATTTAAAAAATGACCATTGCTTTAAGAACAATCTTAGTAAGAAAAAATTGGAATTCCTGATTTTTTTTCTTCTTTTATTTTAGGGTGGTGCTGACAACACTGAAAAAGCCTGTGTTCTGACAGACTCAATACCAACATGTTGCTGCTGTCTTCTTTTTTTTTCTGGTATCGCTTACCACTATGCTTTATTTTAAGGTAGGTACTATTAAAGCTTTACATTCATTTTTTTGGTGTGTAGATAAAGACTTGTTCCGTGTAGGAAAGGAGCATGAATTGGTTATTTTTTGAAGTCTAATCCCCTGATATTATAATACAATTGTCTTGATAACTAGGATACCAGTGACAGGCATGCTCCTATTACGCATTCAGTCTTTCCTAAATCAGGTCAGGCCTGGAGGTTGAAGAGGGAGGTATAAACAAAGCAAAGTCCTCACATTAGTGGTTCCCAGGGCATTAGGGATAGTTGGGGGTGGGGACAGCTGTTAAGACAGTTCTTTATGGTGGTGAAGAGTCATGTATCTTGATTGTGGTGGTGGTTACACAAATCTGTCCACATGATAAAATGACACAGAACTATACACACATTGTAATCAAGTCATATCCCTTGTTTTGATATTATGCCATAATTAATTTAAGATGCAATTAAGGGGAGAAGCTAGAGAAGGCTACAAAGCATCTCCTCTGTACTATCTTTGCAAGTTCCTGTGACTCTATAATTATTTCAAATAAAATTAGAAATAATGCTGGTGAAAATCTAGTTTATAACCTACCTACAAGACTAATAAACATTTAGAAAAGATCTTCTTTAGCTGATCTCAAAAACAAACAAAAACCTCTTAAGTATTCCCACAGATTCAACTCCTATTATTCTCCTTAGAGATTAGTGAAACCTTCAGTCCTAATGACTGGATGGATAACACCAAGGTTTACGCAATAGCAAAATTTCTGGCTAAATGGAGCAAATCTCTTTCATTAACATGTTTTACCTAAACGATGTCAAGTAGCTGGTTGCTTAGAAACATTTCATGATTTGCTGAAATTTCAGATTCTTATACAGGTGTATGGCATTTTGAAGACATAGCCAATATTATAATAATGAGGTGCTAAAACACGAATCAACATTTAATGGAAATAAGACAGAAGTAAAACAGAAGACCTGAGCAATTATAAGCTAACAAATGGCACTGGTGAGGAAGGCTACTTAAAGAGAAAGCACTGAATGAAGCATTTTAAAACAACTGTAGGGCGCCTGGGTGGCTCAGTTGGTTAAGTGACTGCCTTCAGGCTCAGGTCATGATCCCGGAGTCCTGGGATCGAGCCCCACATCAGGCTCCCAGCTCCATGGGGATTCTGCTTCTCCCTCTGACCTCCCCTCTCATGCTCTCTCACTCTGTCTCTCTCTCTATCAAATAAATAAATAAAATCTTTAAAACAACTTCAAGCAATGTGGTATGAATGATTACTACAGCAACTAAAAGCACTAAAGGAAGAAAAGGTCTTAATAAAAAAGAGCAAAAACACTTTATGTTAACTAACTGGAGTTTAAAAACTTGAAATAAAAAAGAATGAAATGAGGAAAATTAAGTACATTTAGATTTATTCCTAAGTATCTCATGGTTTTGTTGCTTTGGTAAATAACGTGCTTTTTATTTCAATTTCCAATCCTTGTTTTTAATATATATAGAAATATAGGTTCATTTTTTAATATTGATCTGAGACCCTGAAATTTCGCTAAATTCACTAACTGGCATTACTGTCATTTTTTCTTATAAATTCATTGGAATTTTCTGTGTAGATGAACATATCATTTGTGAATAAAGACAAAGAATGCTTACTTAAAAAAAAAAAGGCCCCCCCCCCTTGGGGACTAGAGATCACAGACTTGGGTTCTAGTCCTAGCTGTACTACTGATTAATGATTTTAAGTGTACCATTTAGCCTCTCCAAATATGTTCTCTTAATGTAAAAAAGAGCACAATGCCACATAATCATTTTTTTCTTTCTTCTAACTTTAAAATTCTGATTCACAAATGAAAGAGCTACATCAAGTGGTCTAAGAGGAAATTTGCTAAGTAGTGACTAGCTGGGTAACTGCTAGCCAGAGAGCTGACTACTCAGCAGAGAGCTGACTACTCAGCAGTGGCTGGAGTGTGGCTAGCACACTGATCTTACCAGGGAGGTCAGTAATGGCACTATGAGTGATGTGACCCTGAAATTCAGCGAATAAAGCTTTCTGAAAAACAAAACAACAGAAGTATCACTACTGCTTTTTGCCCATAAGCTTTCTTTTCAGGTGAAAGTATCCTGGAAAAAAACACCAGGAGCAGTGGTTAGTAAGTCATCCAGCTCCTAAACACAAGATGTATTGGTTATTAGAGTAATGAGTATAAACTAATTTGGAAGAAATAAGAAAAATCCAGTGGGTACCAAAACTGAGACAGAACAGACAGATTAGAAAACAGGCAGTCATAATGAGAATTAAACAATGATGCTAAGTTTGAAAGTCACTGTTAGTGGTGCCAATATAAAAACATAAAAGCAGGGCGCCTGGGTGGCTCAGTGGGTTAAGCCGCTGCCTTCGGCTCAGGTCATGATCTCAGGGTCCTGGGATCGAGTCCCGCATCGGGCTCTCTGCTCAGCAGGGAGCCTGCTTCCCTCTCTCTCTCTGCCTGCCTCTCTGTCTACTTGTGATCTCTCTCTGTCAAATAAATAAATAAAATCTTTAAAAAAAAAAAAAAAACATAAAAGCAAGGTTTGGTGTATGGTTGACAAAACAAGACAACAAAAGAAACCAGATCTTTCCTGATACATTTTGCTGAACTTCAGCACTAAAGTCTATGGCCATTTCCTTGAGATATTATGACTAGTGGGAAGACTTAAGAGTATTACTGCATGGCCAAAATGTAAAGTAAAAATGATATACACACTGACTGCCAAAGAATAGTGGTAAGAAATACTGCTTTATATAAAGGGAATCTTACAATTCATTTGAGATGTTTTAAAAATAATTTAACTTGACTCAGGGGTAAGGAGCCAAGCAAAGATCATATAATTTAGTGAAGAACGTGAGGCATCTCAGCACAAAATTCTGACATAAATACTGAAGTGTTCAGTTTAATTGTATGTTAGAATGAAGACTGAGAGAAGCTCAAGTTGATTCGGAACTAAGTTTGAACAACAACTTCCACTGGGAAATATTATTTTCATTGGCTCCCAAAAAAGCCTAAAAGTGAAAGCTAATGAGGATCACGAACTACCACAAAAAAGTACAGAATAAACTTTTTAAAAATTACACCTAAGTACTGGATTAACAAGAGAGATGTGTTCACTAAACGGAATAAAAGGATGTGATTAAGAGGTTTTTTTAAAAAATATAATTAGCAAGAGACCAAAGTTCCATGTTCCAGCAAAAAAGTAAGATATGCTTAAATGCTGCTGAAAACTTCTATAATTGCCTATGACTAGGGGGACAATAGTCCTTTGATTACAAATGTAGAGGTGGGTATGTACATGTAAAAAGATAGCAGCAGCTAAACACCTACCATGGAGCTATGACTGACCTCCATTAAATTAATACACATTAATTTCCATTAAAAGTTCCATTAAATTAACATACTTTTTAAATTAAATCATCTAGACTTCTAGTCATTTATAATTAAATTCTGTAAGAAAGGTAATAAATATGAGGTGTGACTAAAATGAAATATATGAGATTGATTAAGCTAGCTAGGGGCAAAAATGACAGGTGAGAGCTAACTATGATAAAATAAGCAAGTTTATGGGGCTGTAACACAGAGAAGTGCTTGGATGGGGGAGAAGAGGAGGAGGAGGTGGCGTCGGCAAGCAAAACTAGCAACAAGTGGCTTCATTTTCAGTAAACATAGCAGGCAGTTTGAACCAGGTAGTTCAAATTCTTATCCTAACACCCAGCACTGCTGGAAGAAAAACCTTGCTTAAGGGCGAAGTGGGAAGGTGCTGTGGGAGAAGTAATTTTGGAATCTGCTTATGCAGGGCACGCCTGGGAGGGAAGCTGACAGAGAACAATATATGGGCAATTAAAGAAAGATAACTAAGGACAGAGTCTACCTGCTGAGACAAATGTGCCCAAACCTCCTTGTCTGTTTCCCAACCATCAACAAGGCCAGGCATTTTATGCCTCAGGCCTCCTTGCCCACTGTTTCAGGGCTAGTAATAAATCGACTTCAAAGGGATGTTTAAGCTATGCTCAAGTATAAACCACAGTGGCGCACAGCAGTAATATTAGATGTTCCTTGAAACACATGTGAAAGGGTAGGACTTTGCTTTGTATCATTATTTTCTAAAGCATATTCTTTCAAATACTAGTTCTATGGGTGTCGTGACTCTTTTCCTCTGGTCCCCGCAGAGATGGGTCCTGTGACCAAGTAAATTTAAGAAATAATTAAAATTAAATAAGGTTATTCACTGCAGGATTCTCCAGAGTCCTTAATTGTGTGCTGAGAATCTCCAAGGGTGGTTAAAGGATATGATATGAAAAATTTTCCAAACTTACTTCCCCTTGGAACCCTCCTTTAGTGGAGCTTCTCTGGGGATTAGCGTTCAATGGAACACACATTTTGGGAACGGCTGTCCAAATACACATTTTTGTGTTAGATAAAACTGAAGATGATATTGAAGGTAAGGAGTGACAAACATGGCAATGTTCACGTATTAATATTTTAACCTTTATTATTAATAAATATTAATAAGAATATTAGTGATTAATATTAATGTAAGTATTAATATAAAATATTAATCTTCTAAAAACCTGAGTTTTCTAATTTGATGTGGGAAGAATAAGCAAATTTTTCCCCAGATAAAAAAGTGAGGGGGGTGGCTTTGTTAATAAACATGTTAGACTGGAAAAAAAAATTGTGCTTAATGGTGCGAAGGTGGTAAAAGATAAGAAAGGTAAGACAGATTTTTTTCTTAATTCAAATAATGTTTTGTAAAGGCCACATCATTTTTACCTTAATATTTTTATTCAAACTCTCAAAACAACAGTTTTTGATGTAATAAACACACCTAATTTTATTACTTTACAAAATTTCCAGGCTTCCAGAAAAACACACATTAGCAGATTTGAAGAGCTGGTGTAAATGCAGTGTTTCCCAATTATTTTGGAAAATCAGTACTTACCAGATTGGTGTGTCAGTAATTATGATCATACAGTGTTCAGGCTGTAAGGGATTTTTAGAGACGCCTGCTTCAAACTCTTCATTTTACAGGTAAGGAAATTAGGGCCTAGAAAGGTTTAAAGAACTTACCCAAAACCAGCCAGTTCTCAAATTGTGCCTTTTTTGAAAATTAAAGATAGCTTGTTTATTGTATTGCAAGGGATGTTAATAAGTAATCAAAATCATGTCCATCTCTAAATCAATTTTTAAAATATTTTAAACTAAAAGTTATATATTATGGGAAACACTGTGTCTTTCTGGACATATGTGTGTGTGTATACATGCATAAATGTATCAATACACGTACAGATATTTTTACCTGGAATTGGTCAGATGTACATGTGTTCATTTCTGGTGACATGGTGTTTGTCTGACCAATGGAAGCAATTTTTTCTGCAGCAGAGAGTGGTTTCAGTGGTTCCTTGGTGGGCTCTAACATACCCTGAAAAAGGCATATTAGCCATTAGTGGAAGACGGAGAGAAATCAACTCAAACTTTATGAGAAAGTCAGTCTAGCAGAAAGTAAAAAACCAAGTCATTTGGAAAGTACTAAAGACAAAAAGGAACTATTCTTAAATTTTGTTTAGAGATGATCTTCTAGTACTGTAATGGAAAATGTTTTACAATAGAACTTTGGAATCCAAACTATATTTGTTTGGTCTTAAAGTATCTAGTTCTCTCTGCTACACAAAAGCATAAGCAATTTGGGATGGTGGGGGGAGGGGAGGGCAAGCACCACAGATTATATCAAGGCCCTAAGACTCCAACAATATTATGATGTTTCAGACACTGAAACTGCAGAAGAGGACACCCTTTGTACCCTTTATACCATGATGATGCTTGGAGAAGCAAGAATTCTAAAACATGCCATCTAATGTGATGATGACTACATGCTTCAATGTAAATTTAGTATTTGATCCTACCTACACTAAAGGATGGGAGCCTTAATACTTAGTTTCTGGGATTAGCAAAGCAGAGACACAGCCATTTCAGAGGGGAAAACATGTTACATGTTCCTCTAGATGTGTTACAAATCTAACACACTCTCTGAGTAAGAAAGGAAGGCATTCAGGAAGGTGGAGGTAGAAATAAAGAAGGAAAAAAAAACCCACCCCAACATTCTGTATCAATACTTTACCAAACACTAATAATAATGGGTAATCATCAGTTAATGGCCTGAAAAAAAGCTAAGCTTTAATACATTTTAAAATAATACTCAAGGAGCGTTTGGGTGGCTCAGTCGGTTAAGCGTCTGCCTTTGGCTCAGGTCATGATCCCAAGGTCCTGAGATCAAGCCCCACATTGGGCTCTCTGCTCAGCAGGGAGCCTGCTTCTCCCTCTACCTGCCACTCTGCCTACTTGTAGTCTCTCTCTGTCAAATAAATAAATAAAATCTTAAAAAATAGTACTCGATAAACTCTTGAATATTTATCAACCAAACTACACAAAAGTCTTCCTTTACTGGGGGAAAAATATTAAAGCAGTTACGACAGTAAGGTCAGAATCTGTAAATTTCTAAGGACAAGTTTTCAGAACAATCCCCCTTCTTCTCAAAAAATAGGACAAATGCTAACTAAAGCAGTTTACAGATTCAATTCTTAACAATGGCATTTGTGAAAGGCTTTACTCCAGCAGCTTGAATGAAAATAAATTCACTAACTCAAGAGCTTATACATCATACAGGCTTTCTATCTAGTGCATCCTTATATAAAGACGATGCAATTCCCAGCCTTAGCCGACTTTTCTAACATGAACTATCCCTTATATCAGTGGTTCTCAAAGTAGTCCCCAATCAGTAGTTTTTGTACCACCTGGGAACTTTTCAGTTGTGCAGCCTCACCCCTACTGAATAAGAAACTTGGGCGGAGTGGTGCCCAGCATTCTGTTTTAACACGTCTTCCAAGCAATTATGATGCATATTAAGGTCAGAGAACGAGTGACTTAAACCATCATTTCAGGTCTTATTCCTCCAGATGAGACCAAAAGACACTGAACACTTCATCTGTGTGAAGCACCATGGAAAAAATTCCGTTACAATTAAAATTTGAAACCAGATATGAAAAAGAATAAGTTTTTAAGTGTAAGTTATCATAAAGATGGAGTAGAAGAGGTGTATTTACTAAATAAACTTTGGTATTAAAAGCTTATAAAAATTACTAATAAAGATTGTAATTAAAGTAGGAAAATAAAGCAAAAATATTAGTCTCTAACTCCTCACAAAATTCAAAGGACTGGCTATTGTGATGAGCCTACACATAAGGATTAAGTAGGTTACTGCTCCCAATATGCTGAATGAAAACTCGTACAAACTGAATTCATAGTTTCTACTCAGAAGTGACAGTAACACCAACAATCTCTAGAATGCTGCTACTTGAGGGAAAAAGAGATACAAATAACCAAAAAGTTGAAGAATGTTCTCCATTATATTTACCACAGCAGAAGTAAGTATAAGGATAATTACGGTGTTTTGAAAATATCAGATAAGCTACATTTATATTTATAAAGGAGCAGAAACTGATTAAAAGGCTGAAGCACAGAAAAGTTTTTGTCTTGGGCACCAGGGCGGCTCTGTCGGTTGAGCCTCTGCCTTTGGCTCAGGTCACGATCCCAGGGTCCTGGGATGGAGCTCCCATCAGGCTCTCTGCTCAGTGGAGAGCCTGTTTTCCCTCTCCCTCTGCCTACCGCTGTCTACTTGTGGTCTCTATCTCTCTGTCACATAAATAAGATCTTAAAAAAAAAAAGTTTTTGTCTAATTCCATAAAACTACAAAAAGGGAAACAAAGTAAAACATTCCAGTTCATTATCTATAATTAGAACTTATTCGGGGGAAAAGTCTGTACATTAAAGAAGGTCAAGTTTCACAGCAAATTCATTTTTGCATGCACATAAAGGGTTGTATAATTTAAATCCCATACCAAATTAGTTATTTTTTCTTAAACACTGTATTTTTACCTTATTTTCAAGTTATTGGTAAAAAAAAATAAAAATATCTTGTTTAACAGAACATTTTTTTCACCAATAACTCAAAAGACATGCCGAAAACACAAACACATCTAAAGCGTGAGTCTTGATAAGGTACAGAAAGAAAATTCCTTAGTTATCCTGGACTACCTGGCTTACCTGAAAAAACAAAACTGAACACATTTAAAAATTTAAGGGCAAAACTAAGAACCAATTATGGGTCCTGGCTCATTTTCAATTACTATCATATGGTATTCCTAAATTTTCATATACATCCATAGCTTCACTAATGCATCATTTAAAATTTATCACAACTGGATTCAAACACACGATATCTAAGCCCTCAGGTACTTCAGCTTCCACTTTTTAAAAGCAAATTTAGAAAGAAAAAAAAAAAAAAGGAAGAAAGAGCAAGACCTCCAAAGGTACATTTACAGTTATGAGCACCATTACTACTAGGATAAAAATAATCTTCCAACTAAAACAAAACAGAATCTTTAATTAATAGAATATGGAAAAATATCCTTAAATCAAGACTTGAAGGGATTTATGACATCAAAAAGGAAATTAATAGTTAATCATTTAATGTTCTCACACCAAGTGCCCCTTAAAATACACTTTCCATGCTATGCCATGTAAGGTAATTTTACAGAATGTAGCAATGATAAATTTGCGGAGACATTTTTTGTACTTACCAATCCTGCTGCATACATGGGCACTATAACAGGCTGCTTCTTATTACCCGTGAAGAGCTACATAAATGTGTTAGAGAAAAAGAACACATAGTTAAGAGAATGCTATGGCATACAATGAAACAGTTAAAATATGCTTGGAATGCTTTATTATATACACTGTGAAAAATAAATACAATAAATTATTAAATTGCCCATATGGGATTATATTTTTGATCTCTTAGTCCAATACCTTCATTTTATAAATAACAGAAAAACACTAAAACAACCTTTTCTTAAAATAAGAAATAGTGACCAGAGAAAAATTTAGACTTATGTTTAGAGGTTGCCATATTCAAAATACATGAGCATTTAAGACAACTAATAATTAATTTTTCTGAGCAACTAGCTTATTGCAACTTGATCAGAAGTTGTAACAGAATTTAAAAACACTCATAGGCCCACTAAAGGATTTCCAAGGTATTAACAAAACTCACAATGTTTCGAGTATCTATTCCCAAGGAGCACAAAAGCTTCTTGTTGCTATGGGAGCCGCCCCACTGATATCTCAAGCCATGTGCATCATTGATATCCTGGAGCTCCGTCCACACATCCAGAAGTTCCCTGCAAAGGTCATGACAAAGCCACCATGAATTCATCATGGATTCTAGTTTTAATGTGATGGTGAAATGTTACACATTCTAATCAATCTTGCATTTAACATAAGTATACAACTACCATTTGAATAAAATCAACAACCACCACTTAGTCATTAAAGTAGCTAAGTTAAACTCATTTGGAACAATATGCCAGTAAACAACCAAGATTTAGCCTTTTTTTTTTTTTTAACTGTAAAGCAAAAACATTTAAAAGAAGAAATCACTCAACCTTCAACCAAATTACTAGAGCCATTTAATATTGGTGCTTTTTTTCTCTTTGAATCCTGACCCACAAACACAGCTGCAATTATAATATATAGAGAATTTTGTAATCTTTTTCAGATTTTAAGCATTTCTTCATCTACATGTATAACTTTTTCAATAGCGGTATAGTGTTCTACTAGACAGAATGTATCATAATTTATTTGGCCACAAAACCATATAGTTTAAGTAAGTTGTTTTTACTGTTCAGCTCCTATTGTTAGTTTAGGCAAAATATCTTCCTGTATTTTATGGTGTGTTTTGTTGTAGAGTTGTGTTATATCCCAAAAATGAATCTCCTGGAGAGATTCCTGGGTCTATTTGAACAACTAGCATATTTTTATTTTATTTTATTTTTTTTAAAAGATTTTATTTATTTATTTGACAGAGATCACAAGTAGGCAGAGAGGCAGGCAGAGAGAGGGGGGAAGCAGGTTCCCTGCTGAGCAGAGAGCCCGATGCGGGACTCGATCCCAGGACCCTGAGATCATGACCTGAGCCGAAGGCAGAGGCTTTAACCCACTGAGCCACCCAGGCGCCCCAACTAGCGTATTTTTAAATAACACATCTAAATGGTTTTAAGATGGTAAAGCATAAACCTTTTTGTCCCCTTTTCTTCTCAGAAATCACCCTCCAAAACACCAAGAAGCAAATAATAATCTTCATCTTTAAAGAAATTAAGAGGTACTTAAAACCCTGAACCACAAGCACTGAGGTTACAAAAAGAGATGAAGGAGAGACTTGCACAGAGGGAGAGAATGCGTCCAGAGGTGGAGAGTAATGAAATCCAAGAGAAGAGTACAAGAATAAGAATAATTCTGAAATTAAAATCAGAAAATCAATCTAGACCCTCTAACATCTAATAATTAATGAGTTCCAGAAAGAAAACAATGGAGGGAAGGTTCCTGTCAATACAAGAGAATTGCCCAATACTGAAGAACAGCAGTCTCCACACTGAAAGACTGTACACCTGTGCTCAGTCCAATGAATGAAAAGTCTCATCAAGACACTTCATTGTGAATTTTCAGAATACCAATAACAAAAAATCCTAAATTATAAATTTAATGTGAGGGCAGAATGAAGTAAAAATTTACCACCCCTGTACTTCATTTCTCAGGAGGCTATTAGAGGATGTGTTCCACCAAAATGGGCTATAAGTGAAGGAAAGTCCCAAGACAACATGTGTTTAAGAAGCCTAGATTGGGGCTGCCTGGGTGGCTCAGTGGGTTAAGCCTCTGCCTTCAGCTCAGGTCATGATCTCAGGGTCCTGGGATCGAGTCCCACATCAGGCTCTCTGCTAGGCAGGGAGACTTGCTTCCTCCTCTCTCTCTCTCTCTACTTGTGCTCTCTCTCTGTCAAATAAATAAAATCTTAAAAAAAAAAAAAAAAAGAAGCCTAGATTAAATCCATTCCAGATTGGAATAGGAGGATGGAGGACTCAGGAAAAAAATGGAATGGCTAGCCTGACAGGTTTGATCACAAGTATTAACAGGCTGCTGGAGGGTAGGAAAAGACTTAGTAAATGAAAAAGAGAGGTCATTATATATCCAGGAAGAAGTTCTAATAGTGGACAATAAACACTATTTACATGATTATAATAATGAAAATACCAAATACCAGCTGAATGAAAAACTATGATATAAATATAATGACGTACTATGTGTTGGGTAACTGAATTTAAAAAATAAAAAAAATATATATAGGGACCATGAAGGGAGCAGATGTAGTCTAAATTCTCATCTATCATACCAGAAGTCAAAAGATAATATATAAAATTAATGAGAATATTGATCTAGAAATACTTTAAAAAGCATTCAAAAATGGAGCAGGGAGTTTTTTGAATTTTAATAGCACAATCTGCCTTTTAAAAATTCACAGTGTTACAAGAACATTTCAGAACCTTGATGCTTTAAGATAAGCTTCTAAGTTAAAACAGCTAAAACTAACAAATAGACATGCTGTCTAAAAACTGTCTACTACTTACCCACTTTCAGCTAAGGCCTCTCTCGATTTTACTGGGAAGGTGCTTGTTTCCAGCAAGTGCTTCAGGGAAGTAACTTCCTCTTCAGTACCAGGGATAAATATTGAAGGAAAACATGCTTCGAAAATTCGCTCCAGGCGGTTTAGTAAAGCTGTCTGCATCAAAACACCCCAAAAAGTTTATCTTCATTTCTCTAATTTCAATGATGTCAGTTTTATCATCAACACACACATATACCTCTAACCCCACACCCTCTCCACTACGAGAGGTTAACTACCACTCAGGTACAGGAAACACTAAGTGAAAGGAGCAAAACTACTCACAGAACAACCGTTCTAAATGATTACATTAAGTAACCATAAAGATATAGTGGTGACTAATGTAGTTAAATGCCAAGCAACGTTATCTGGTACTTTACAAACATTATCTTATTTAATCTATTACAGAATTCACAAAGAAGAAATTATTACTCAATTGTACAGTGAGAAAGCAACCTCAAAGTGTGCATAATCTACCCAAAGCAAAAATAAAAACAAAGAGACACATTCAGAAAACCAAACAAGCAGCATTCATATTCCTTCTATCACTAGATGTTCCAACTACCAGTCATGTACATTAGATTTAAGAATGATTATCATGAATGTTTATGAAAAGCATTATGCTATTATAGTTGAACAGAACTTTTTTCTTGAATATAAACATCTGAATTCTAAAAGCCTTTTAGAAATATCTCTGCTGCTAATAGAAACCAAAACAGGAAAGAATGCCTCAATCTTTACTAAGAAATTCAATAGCTCATTTAGCATTTTGATGATCTATGTTATCTTTTAAAAATTCCATTTCTCTACTCTTCTATCTATGGTGTGTTCATTGAATGTATTTTTGAATAGAACGCTGCCTTTCCTCCAATCGAAGACGGAATATTCCTTAGAGTATATTCACTGAAAACATTGGCATTTTGGAGTATGTTCATTAATTAAAACTTAATAAATTGAGATTAACTTACATTTTTGGGGGTACTACTAGGTTGCTCTACACGTGTAGCCTATGATAACATTTATTCCCACTTTCCCAACTGTATGTCAGACACATGTAAAATATTTTCAACTTAGCTCAATTTACTACTTAAATATCAAACAGGAATACAAACTATTAAGTTAAAGATTGTTGTTAGTGTACTCCTGAAATGATACTGAGTGTGCAAGAAAACGCCACATCATGGTGGTATTTCCTGCCAAGTAACAAAAACAAGTTAACGCTTGATTTCTGTTGTTTAGCATAGTCAGCAAACAGGAAAATGAAAAACAAAAGGAAAAATCTTCACAAACATGTTTTCCAAACCAAAATCTCTCTTCTGGAAGCAGTATCAGAGCGAAAAACTTAACACTGAATAATTAGTCTCAGGGTACTCTTCTGCTATCTCTACAAAAGTTACTCGAACACCTTCATTATATTCATGTGTGTGATATGGGAAAAGCTTCTCAGTATCAATTATGAAACTTACAGTAAAGAGTAGACTCAAGATCCCCAGGCTTGTGAAACCTGAGTGTGTCAAGGGGACCTGCACTTACTTGCTTCAACAGAGGGAATGGACAGACACTACTTTTAAAGGGATCAGATAACCATCTAATTGGAAACATGATAAGCCTTGGCTCCTTCTGGGCAGGGAAGGTAAACAAAAACTCACATATGACTAAATTTTACTTCTCTGTAAATTAAAACTGAATCTCTCTCATATCCTCTTTGTTATCCTTTTAATGGAAAAGAAAAAATATTTATCAAAAGAAGGAAGAAATAACCCCAAAACACACTCAGTTAATTGGGCAATATTATACCTAACTATCAGTCTTATGTACACCAGTGAGCAAATTGTCAAATCAGTGGAATGTACATGAACAAACAGAACATCACATTCACCTTACCTTTTCTCATACAGAATGTAAATTACATGAAAAACTTAAAAGAAAGTTCCATTTAGCTTTGTGGTTAGATATTACACCCAATTGCTTCAAATATTTTGTTGAATGAAGTAGAGCAGGGGTCAGCAATTCTTTCTTTTCTTTTAGCTATTCTTTTCAATATAGGGCCAGATAGTAAGTATTTTCAGCTTTGTACCATCTATAAACAAATAAGTGAGGTGTGTTCCAATGAAACTTTATTTACTAAAACAGGGAGCAGGATAGATTTGTCTCATAGGCCACAGTTTGCTGACCCCTGAGGTAGAGCAATAAATAACAAAGATTCAAATATCAGAATCCTTTAACTGCACCACTAACAGCACCACCCACACCACAAGGAGGAACTCTAACAATTCAAAAAGAAAGCAGCTAACAGAATTAACAAAGATTGTGATGAAAATTAAATTTCCTGACATTTTCCTTTAAAAATACAATTCCCAGCTATGCACAAGACTAGTCTGATGGTAAAAAGGAACCCTCTAAAAAGAGTTTCTTACTAATATGTTGTTCATGATAATACATGCCAAATTTCATTTGCTACTAGTTAATTCCAGGAAGTAAATGGCTGATTAACTATAATACTTCAATCAAGGGCTGTGGACCTAGAGATGAGACTCAGCTTCTGGACTTATCAACTGGAAATAGCAGGGGCACTCTCACAGGGTGGGTGACGAATTACAGGATTAAATGTCTGGCACCAGTGTGTGCCTAAGAAGTAACTTTTATCACTACTATTGTTATACAGATGGTACACAAAACACAGTACCCTACCAAGGAATAAAATAAATATCAAAACTAGGTTCAAATCTCACTAGGGATGTTTCTCTACCACTATTTAGCATTCTAAATCATTATGAAAATACCTGTTTCGATCTATCAATTTCTACCATAAGAAGAAATTAATCCAAATTTCTGCACCCTCCTTAAGATCCTCTTACTGAATTGGAAAATAAGTACCAATTTAAAAATGTCTATCATTAAGAGCCACTTATATAAATAGAACCTCTTACTGTTACTTCTTGTGGATTTTATTTTTTATGAAAAAAAAATTTGGGGGGGGGCGCCTGGGTGGCTCAGTGGGTTAAGCCTCTGCCTTCAGCTCAGGTCATGATCCCAGGGTCCTGGGATCGAGCCCCACATCAGGCTCTCTGCTCGGCAGGGAACCTGCTTCCCCCCTCTCTCTGCCTGCCTCTTTGCCTACTTGTGATCTCTCTCTCTGTCAAATAAATAAAATCTTAAAAAAATTATTTTTTTTTTGAGAGAGAGAAAAGAGGGGGGTGCAGAGCAGAGAGAGACGGAGAATCTTAAGCAGTGCCCAGTTTAATACCTACAATAGTCTTAAACCAAATGAGTAATAATATTATATCAACACTAGGGTCAACAAAGTGAAGTATTATTTAAACTTGGACTTAATCTACTGTGTATAAGTGAAAAGGAACTTAATATTACCCTGCTTATAAGAATTCTTATTTCTGTATAGAGTATATCTAGCCATAAGAGGCAATCAACTCCTGGTTTTGATTAAATGGGGACACTACATACTTTTAAACTCCTTGTAGCTGATTAACTCAGAAAAAGATGTGAATTAAACAGTAATATTTATTAATATGTTACAATACATGTGGACTTGTATTAGACACAAAATGCTGAAAGACTGTATTTTATTATTTGGCATTAGAGGTAAAGTCAGTCTGGCTAAATGAGTTTCCCTAGGCAGACAGTGCAGTATGTATAAATCAAACAATATCAGTATAACCCTAAACAGTTCAAGAAAGCAAGCACCTAAATTCAGTAAAATATCAAAAGATGTTCTCTAAAACATAGTTAGAAACTGCAACAGCCTGATATAGCTCATTATGTTTTTTATTTAATGCTTACACAGTGCTCACCACATGCCAGGCATTATTCTAAATGCTTTACAATTACTAACTCACAGAAGAACAAAGAGGAATCACAGGAGGAAGGTGACAGTCTTATTATTATCCCCATGTTCTAAAGGAGAAAAATGGAGCACTAAGAGGTTAACTCGCCCATAGTCAGATGAGTATTACACTCTGAATCCTGATCTAGGGAGTATAGTTTCAGAGTCTGTGTTCTTACACGCTGTATTAAAGCTATCATCAAAGCAGTTGTTTTTTTTTTTTAAGATTTTATTAAAGATTTTATTTATTTATTTGACAGACAGAGATCACAAATAGGCAGAGAAGCAGGCAGAGAGAGAGGAGGAAGCAGGGTCCCTGCTGAGCCGAGAGCCCGATGTGGGGCTCAATCCCAGGACCCTGGGATCATGACCTGAGCCAAAGGCAGAGGCTTTAACCTACTGAGCCATCCAGGCACCCCAATCAAAGCAGTTTTAAACTCAATCTCTAAAAAGTATAGGAGCTTTGAGGGCAGGGAATGTGTCTCATTTTGAATCTCCAGTACTTAGGTTTCTGTACCAGCCGATACAGAAATGTTAGCGAGATCAGTGTGCACTAGATTTAAAATACAAAACAAAACAAAATACACTTCACTTTTATTTAAGACTGCAGGGGGCATATTTGTTCTACTTAAGAAAGTGTATCTTTTTATAAGCCATCTAAACCATTTTTGTACATAGGTTGGATATATTTATATAATTTAACAAGTATAAATAATAACTGAATCCCTTACATACTAGGTACTATTGCTTGATACTTACATATATTACTTTATGTATCTTTTTAAAAAAAAATCCCAAAAGCTAAGTATTATTGTTTCCAATATTAGGGATGAAATGAAAGCTCAGGGAGTAAATTTTTGGTTTGTTACCAGAAAGTCAGCATTCAGGATTTGGGAGAGACTTGTAACCTGTTTGTGACTGGGGCCTACCAACTGGGAAACTCTTCATTCAGTAATACGACTTGTTTGCATCAGTGGGTGAAATGAAATGGCTGCTTATATACCTCTTACCCTAAACATGGAGATATGACAGAACTCAGAATGAGTATAAGTGAAAGCTATACAGGGACAAACATGCTCCCTCTTCTGATGGTTAAATTTTTTTTTTTTTTTTAAAGATTTTATTTATTTGACAGACAGAGATCACAAGTAGGCACAGAGGCAGGCAGAGAGAAGGAGAGGAAGGGAAGCAGGCTCCCTGCTGAGCAGAGAGCCTGATGCGGGGCTCGATCCCAGGACCCTGGGATCATGACCTGAGCCGACGGCAGAGGCTTAAC